AATATGTGTACTACATTTGCCTGTTTCCACAAGTTTCGCACAACTCCCGTGTCTAATGATTTTGCAAATAAATTTATGAAGGGTCCGCTAATCTGTTCCTTACACTCTTTCAAAACCCAGGGAAAATTTCATCCGGCCCTGGGGATATTGTCTTCTTTAATTTATTTATCTTCCTAAGAACATCCTCTTTTCTGATAGTGATATTCTTTAATTTCTCTTCTTTATTTCCCCTAAATATCAGTTCCACCTCTTTCATTTCCTCGTGAATTTCTTCTGTGAAAACTGATAAGAACATAAGAATGGAGGAAACTGCACCGGGCCTATTGACCCATACTGGGCAGTCCCATTTACACCCAACCCCTATTGCTCATATAAGCATCCAACCTATGTTTGAAGCTATCCAGTGTATTGGAGTTAATGGTGATGTTTGGTAACTTATTCCATTCATCCACTACTCGGTTTCCAAACCAGTGTTTACCTATTTCGGGCCTAAATCTAAATTTGTCTAATTTAAAACCATTGTTACGAGTTCGCTCTTGGTTGGATAGTTTGAGTACCTTTGTAATGTCCCCTTTGTTCAGCCCTGACTTTCATTTATACACCTCTATCATAGCGCCTCTCACTCTACGTCTCTCGAGGGAGTGCAAGTTAAGATGCTTTAACCTGTCTCTGTACTCAAGGTTCCTGATGCCCGGGATTATCCTTGTCATTCTCCTCTGGATTCTTTCCAAGGATTCTATATCCATTCTGTAATACGGTGACCAGAATTGAACTGAGTAATCCAAGTGAGGTCTCACAAGCGCAAGCTATAGTTTTAGGATGACCTCCCTAATCTTGTAACTAACACTCCTTTGTATGAGCCCAAGTACTTTATTAGCCTTGTTTCGAGCAATTACACATTGTTTACATGGCTTAAGGTTCCTACTTATCATTACTCCTTAATCTCTCTCCCAGTCGGATTTCTCAATGGCATCGTTGTTCATCTGGTAACTGGTTTCCCTGTTTACATCTCCTATACTGAGTACGTTACATTTTTCCACGTTGAATTTCATCTGCCATTATTCAGACCATTCCAAAAATTTGCTTAGATCTTCCTTTAGTTTTGTGGAGTCCTCGTCAGATTTAATAACACGTCCTATTTTAGTGTCATCAGCAAATTGACTTAAGTTGCTGTCTCTGCCGATATTCATGTCCTTTATATATATCATAAATAATAATGGTCCAAGTACTGAGTAGCTGTTTAATGCTTTGCTTATTTTCTCACTTTCATCAATTACTTCCTTTCTGTGGTGGATCTTTTATATAACTTAAGTATCTTTAGATTCTTCTCAAGTTACTAATTACAGATATGGGAAATCCTATGTACTAACAAACTGAGCAAACCGATCTGGAGGAGCTAGGAATACGGAAAAACGTAAATATTTTTGTTGTTACCAGACTTTGTCAACAAAGAATTTTTCACACCCAACAGTTTCAGATTCTAGACCAGTGGTTCTCAACCTTGTTTGCCCCATGCACCCCTTTCACCATATGTCAGAATGTCATTCCCCCCTCCTTTCCAAGATTGTCTGCCTCAAAAAGTGCATTCCAAATAATATGCATATAATACTGAAAATCCTTTATTTTTTCCATATTAGTATCAGTTTCCCCTCCCCCCCCCTGAAAACCTGAGGGGGGGAAATTCCCCCCTGGTTGAGAACCCCTGTTCTAGACCGAGGTTTACACCGTTAATCAAGCTATACCTTCATGACTAAAACAACATCCCTGTTCAAGACTTCATCTGCCAGGTAAAAACAATAACATCTTGTCTGGGGAACGTCAACACACTGCCTTACCACTCCTCTCAACACTGTAGCAACTTTCACTTTCCTGTAGACGGGAGCTTTGTGTGCATCCGTTTCGTCTTTTCCACTCAAGGTTAATGATTTATTGATAAATTGTGTCTGTTACGCCCATGGAACATTAATCTTTAATAGCATCATATGTTTTTGGGTTAATTCTCTCATTAAACCCTACAATGCAACGGGCTGGAATTAAATTCCATTGTATTGCTAACTTCATGGAAATGAATGAATATATGGTATGAGTATTTTTATTTTATTGAAGATATTCTTTGCTATGTTAAAATATCCAAACATTTCTTAATTTAAGGTTAGGTTCGGATAACTTAGTACTATATACAAAATTTGGATAATTAGGATTGTACTGCTGGTATTCATATCATGTTTACCAACATAATTTTCACTACCTGCAGACCACTTCAAAATTATGTAAAAGTCAGAAAAAGATTGAAATTATCTTTGTGAAAATCGTCCTTAAATACATGATATTAACTCTCCGGTAGGACGGTGTTAACCACCACGTGATGACTGCTGAGGAACTGCAGTAGTGGACTGTAAAAAATTAATTACATGATGATAATGAAAAAATGGAATGATAATGAAAATGAGATGTCACCCGTATATTGCTGTTAAGGGTAACTTATGAAATAAGTGAATGATGAATAATTCCTTTTCATAAGGATTGTAGGAGGGCTGAAAAGGAGTTCCAGAGGCTGGTTGCACGCGAGGTCAAGTCAAACCCAAAGGCGTTTTACCGCTATGCAAAGTCGAAATTGAAAACGCGAGTAGCAGTATCAGACCTGAGGCTTGAAGATGGTAGTTACGCAGATTCTGACCAGGATAAAGCTGAGGCATTGAACAGCTTCTTTTCCTCAGTGTTCACAAGAGAGGATGCAACTAATCTTCCTGCGTTTGAGGACAGACGGTTCGACACAGCACTGACCCACATTGTGTTCACAGAAGAGGGTATTAGAAATAAACTGTCCAAGCTAAAGGTCCATAAGAGTCCCGGACCTGACATGGTGCATCCTAGAGTGCTAAGAGAGCTGTGCAACGAGCTTGCAGAGCCCCTGAAGATTCTCTTTTGTAAATGCCTGGATGAACAAATGGTCCCCAGTGAATGGAAAGTGGCTTATGTGAGTCCTATCTTTAAGAAGGGCGATAGTCACTCCACGAACAACTATAGACCGGTGAGCCTGACCAGCATAATATGTAAAGTACTTGAGAGTATTATCAGAGATGCCGCGATGGAACATCTACTACGAAACAACCTTGTAAAAGATTGCCAACACGGTTTTATGCCGGGGCGCTCTTGCTTAACACAATTGCTCAAGGTATTGGATATTTGGACCCATATTCTAGAACGGGGTGGTAATATCGACAATATTTACCTAGATTTTGCCAAGGCTTTCGACAGTGTACCCCACGAAAGGTTGAAAATCAAACTGGAAGGGCACGGAATTCGGGGAAATGTCCTAGCGTGGATAGAAGACTTTCTACATGACCGCAAGCAGTGTGTGGTGATTAATGGCACGAAATCGTCATCTGTACCTGTAACAAGTGGGGTACCGCAGGATAGTGTATTGGGCCCGCTGTTGTTTGTTTGTTTCATAAATGACATGCCTGACGTTGTACAGTCCTCCATACAAATGTTTGCCGATGATGGCAAGTTATTTCGGGAAATTAAGAACCAAGCGGACTGTGAAGAGCTGCAGAAGGACCTCTGTGGGCTCCGGGAATGGTCGAAGAAATGGCTGCTGAGATTCAATGTCACGAAGTGTAAGAGGATGCACCTGGGGCGTACCAACGGTAAGGAGGCGTATCATATGTCTCAACGGGATGAAGAAAATGCACTAGTTGAGACTGCGTGTGAGAAGGACCTAGGTGTGTATGTTGACAATGAGCTGAAGTTCTCGGGCCATTGTGAGAAGAAGGTAAATCAGGCAAATAAATTATTGGGTCTTATAAGAAGGTCGTTCAGATATCTAGACGGTCCGTCCCTCGTGACGATCTTCAGGAGTGAAGTGCTTCCCCATCTGGAGTACTGTCACCCCATCTGGTCCCCGAGATATGCTAGGGACTGTCAGTTGGTTGAAAATGTTCAAAGGAGGGCCACCAAACTGGTGCCTGCACTTCGGCACCTCAGCTACCCTGAGAGATTGGAGCGCCTGAACTTGCCTAGCTTATACTACAGACGGGCAAGGGGGGACCTAGTTGAGGTGTATAAGCATCTCAGGGGGCACTACTCAGTTGAGTGTCCTTACTTGGAGCTGGCGGACGCTCGCCCCACAAGGGGTCACAGCTCAAGATTGAAGAAGCCGCAAGTCCAGAAAACCGTGAGGGCAAACTTTTTCGGAGTGAGGGTTGTAAACTCTTGGAACAATCTACCAGAGAGTGTTGTGACGGCACCGAGTGTGAGCTCTTTCAAGAGAAGACTTGACCAACACTGGAGCGGGTTCAGGTACATTCAGGAGCCGGTGCATGCCCAGTATTTGCCAACAGTGCGTGACAGAGACGTGACCGATCGCCCGGGCGGCTAGCGAGCCGATCTTTTGGTGAAGAATATAAATGAAAAGAGACGTGACCGATCGCCCAAGCGGCTAACAAGCCGATCAGTGGCGTACAGGATAAAAGTAAAAGTAAGTTATCTGTCATTCAATCAGAGTACCGTCCTCATATCTGGAGGTTGGCGATCACAGTCCTCGACTCTAAACGTTCTTGGGCTGTTTTACCAATTATCGAAGGTTTTGTATCTCCCTGGGGAAACACTTTTTAATTTAATTCATCTATCCTGCTCTCTACCTTCCCCTAGCCCTCCTACCCTCAACTATGTCCATTAATATTTCTGTATTATTCCCTCGTCTCTAATTATATGACCAAATGATCTCATTTCTCTTTTTTCGTAGATTTCAAGTATTTCTCTTGAAGTTTTTGCTAATTTTAGTACTTCTTCATTAGTTTTTCTATCAGTGTAGCTTATCATTAGCATTCGCCTATAACACCACATTTCAAAGGCTTCCAACCTCTTTCTGGTGTCTGCTGAAAGTGTCCATATAATGACTTTTCACTTATTTAAGTTCCCTGTTGCCTACCACACTTTTCATTTTAGGACTTAAAAGTTCTCGATTCACACAAGAAGGATACAAAGAAGTTAAAAAATATGATCATCAGAAATTTTATTATGTAAATATGATAAAGAAAACTTTCATTGGTAAACCACACTGATAATAAATTATAAATATATACAAAGATGGGAGTCCAGTAAACTCTTGGATCATGGTTGAGTGGATGCGGGAATCATTTTACCAGAGAGACAGTCGAGTGAGAGAAGACAAGTGTCAAGTTATAAACATCTTAAAATGGAGTTCCATAGGAAGTAGGTGGAGGAACTGGAGGTCCATAACCGTTGCTGGCACCATTCCCACCGTTACTGTTTGCTCGATAGCCATTACCGTTGACAGCATTTCCGTTTCTTCCGTTACCATTTGAGCTATAACGGTTGTCATTACCATTACCTTTCCCGTTACCGTTAGAGCCATAACGGTTACCATTACCGTTGGTGGAGGGTCCATAACCACCGTAGGGGACGACGCCGATGAGCTCATTGACGGAGTAGAAGTTCTCAGCCTCAGAGCAGTCCACGTTGAACCACCAGTCACACACCAGGTACTGCTGGTTGAAGATGGTACCGTTGGGACAGAGGAAGGAGTCCTGCTGGCGTCTGCGGGCGCGGTCCTGGCAAATGTGGAACACCTGGCAGCCGGCTTCAGAGGCGGTATCAGCGTAATAGCCTTGCACCGCCTGGTCATCACAGGAGAAGCCAGTGTTTGGTGGAGAAGCCAGAATGGGGTAGTCTTCACCAGGGACGCCACCACCAGGGATGCTCTCCAGCAGAGCAGCAATTTCATCTTGTCCGTAGCCACTTGGGGGGCCGTACCTGTTACTTGGGGGAGCTCCGTATCCGTTGCTCAGAGGTGCTCCAAACCCGTTGTTTGGGACTCCATTTGAAGCGCCAAAGCCATTGCTGAAACCTCCGTTTGGCCCCCGGTAGTTGCTGGAAGGTAGTCTATCAGCGACAGACATACCCAGGAAAGCTATAAAGAAAAAACATTTAATTAAGCTCTGGTTCGAGACGGAAATTTCATTACTTGTAACTGTTTACCCTTTTATAAAAATTCAATATTGAACAATACAACCAGTCATCGCTCTGTTATAGTTACCAAACACGAGAAGAGTTTTCATATTTGAAGATCACCAAAGAGGTAATTTAAAGACAGAAGTACAGAACAGACAGCCAGAGGAAGGTGCTGCTGGAAGATGATGGTGGACAGTGAGTCTCGCTGGCCTTTATACCCGTTCCTTCACCAAGCTCCTCCCACTCGCCTTGAGCTCACCCCGTATCTTAGATCATCACTTTCTTAACTGGTTCAACTTCACATCAACTGATACATCCTCAATTTGGTATAATTATTTCCAGTAAACTTTTATGAGATAAGAAACAGGTAAATAAATCATTATAAATACGATAAAATTCGACAATACTTTGTAATAGATTTTCATGTTTTATCAGACAAGTCAAACATTAAACCTATAACTTAAAATTTCAAAATATTGCATCACTTATGCAACCAAAATTATATAAAAGAAAAATAAATTAATATGCCACCAATGTATCAAAAGTATGGCTGGAACAGAAGCCCATCTTCGCCAAGCAATGTCTGAGTCTGCCCTCCATTCATTCACCATCAAGTATCGTGCCGTGTCTGCCCACCACTCAGTCACCATCAAGTATCGTGCCGTGTTTGCCCACCACTCAGTCACCATTAAGTATCGTGCCGTGTAAGCCCACCACCCAGTCACCATGAAATACAACAATCAGAATTAATAATTAATATAGTAAACTACATAATATAATAAAGCTTGTCGCTGGTAAGCACAAGCAAATTTCTGTTTATCGGTAATCTGTGATAGAACCAGTCACTTATATTTAATTTGAGACCATCTCCATTCTCTAATATAATCACATTCTACCCCTTCACTAGCCAGATACCGTAAATTGCTACCAGCTTTTGAGCTCTCTCCTTCTTCAAGCTATTCGAATATTGGTTCAAACAAGCCTAAATGAGGAAACAACTAGTTTAATCAAACTAGAGCTGGGAAGACATAAATGAAGGGAAGCAATGAATGCAAACTTGCACAGTAGCCATTGGGTAGTTTTCTTTATTTTGCCTTTTCTTGTTTCATATGCTATTATTCTCCACCAATTCCAAGGGAACATGCTTCACGTGATGCTGGATCCAAACATGTGGGATATGAATTCTTCATTGTCTTTTAACTTAAAAGCATAAAGTCCAACATTCTGCTTTACTGTCAGCTTCGCCAGTGATATTCTCTCCAATGAATAAACATATCTAAACGAAAGTGTTATATGGATATTGTATCCATAACTTCCACACACATTAGGTACTGGTAATCTAATACCTGTATGTTGCATATATTCACAGCATTCCGCAAACAAAAAATTAGTTACCACTAAATTCCGGAACAATGTAAAGTTGATTGGTCTCAACTAGACAATATAATTATGTTTCTTGACTGGAACCCAGTCAAAGTTGTATTGTTTCTTACCGTGATAACGTGGATCAGTGAGCCATGAACGCCAAGTAATGGAAAGGTTCCATGGCGTTCCTAAACCTGGACTGAATTCCTTCACGGTGCTGAACCAGGTTTTCATTTTTCAGAGGGAATATCCAAATAAGGATGCCATTAGAGGCGCGAGATCTCTCAGCTTGAAGCTGGGAAAACCCAAAGTTTTGAGATTTATTTCGTGAAATCATTATTCTTATACACATGAGTAGATACTGAGGTATTAAAGTTTTTATATGACTATGGTTGTAACGACATATACTCGTACAGTAGGTCCTTCCTGATCAAGAACACTTCCAAGAGTTTCAGCTGAGAGAGAAGATTCGGGACTTCCCGATAAATCCCTAAAGTCGTTATAATTTTATCAATATTTGCTTGGACTGCTGTCTCATGCTCTCCTCTGTTCTCCAATAATAAATGTAATTTCAAACATGCGTTTCAACACAAACTATTTACGAGTTCCATCGTATTTTATTTAGCAGCTGGAGCATTTTACTTCCCTTATCTTTTTGCTAACTCTGTGTTAGAACAAACAAACATTTTCTTGAAAACTAAAAAAACAATTGTTTTATTTAACCTAATCCCCAAATTCCTGTATAAAGGAATATATAACAAAAGTAATTTCATTATAATGTTTGACATCTTGTTTCTTAAGTACTTGCAAACTTCTTCCCCATTTATCAAGACTGTTTTTTGGAGAGATGGTTTTATAAAGTAAATTAAGATAATATGCTGACACTCCGCAAGTGAATAGGTTTGGGTTCTTCTCATTCAAGATCTCTTTCATCTAAAGCATTTTTTTTACGTTATCTGGCCACGGGAAACACCTATATAACAAGCACATAACACCAATGCAGATAAATTTAACGAATATATTGACATAGTGCAAGGATCTTTATACCATAAGAAGCGTACACATATAAATATAGCATTTATACTTCTCGACATATCTGGTATCGTTGTAATCGCCTTGACCCACAGATGGTCCACAACTGGGTTTCATTTCATAAATTTAAATTTAGGAGTCTTGTAGCCTTTTCTCCCATCTCCAAGAATCTGTGGTTAATGGCGTCGTTTAGAACACCAGGAACGGTTAATGTCGTTTCCTAGAACATCACGAGTGGTTAAAGGCGTCTCCTAGAACATCACGAACAGTTAATGGCGTCTCCGAGAACATCACGAGCATTTAATAGCGTCTTCTAGAACATCAAGAGCAGTTAATGGCGTCTCCCTGAACATCACAAGCAGTTAATAGCGTCTCCTAGAACATCACGAGCAGTTAATGGCGTCTCCGAGAACATCACGAGCATTTAATAGCGTCTTCTAGAACATCAAGAGCAGTTAACGGCGTCTCCCTGAACATCACAAGCAGTTAATGGCGTCTCCTAGAACATCACGAGCAGTTAATGGCGTCTCTCAGAACAATATGAGAGGCAGTTAATGGCGTCTCCAAAGAACATCATGAGCGGTTAATGGCGTCTCCTATAACATCAGGAGCGACGGTAAATGGCGTCTACTAGAACATCACGAGCGGTTATTGGTGTCTCCTGGAACATCACAAGCGGTTAATGGTGTCTCCCAGAACATCATGAGCGGTTAAAGGTGTCTCCCAGAACATCATGAGCGGTTAATGACGTCTCCTAGAACATTAAAAGTGGTTTATGGCGTCTCCTAGATCATCACAAGCGGTTAATGGCATATCCTAGAACATCACATGCAGTTAATGGAGTCTCCTAGAACGCCATGAGGGGCGGTTATTGGCCTTTCCTAGAACAACACGAGCAGTTAATGGCGTCTCCGAGAACATCATGATCGATTAATGGCGTCTCCCAGAACATCATGAGAGGCGGTTAATAGCGTCTCTCAGAAAATCACGAGCGGCTAATGGCGTACCCCAGAACATTACGAGAAGCGGTTAATGGCGTCTCTCAGAACATTATGAGCGGTTAATAGCGTCTCCCAGAACATCATGAGTGACGGTTAATGGTGTCTCCTAGAATATCAGGAGCGGTCAATGGCGTCTCCTAGAACATCACGAGCGGTTAATTTCATCTCCTATAACAGTATGAGCAGTTAATGATTTCCCAGAACATCAGGAGGGTCAATGGCGTCTACTAGAACGTCATGAATGGCGGTTAATGGCGTCTCCTAGAACATCCCTTCACGAATCAAAATTTACTGCATATTTTTACTATTTTCATTCATAATTTTTCAGAATATAACAAAGAAAATTAAACGTTTGTTTGTATTATTTCTCAGCCTTATATTAATACAAAGGTTTCTGTCGATCTTTTCTAATAAAGCTCTATTGGAAAATTAAAAAAAAAAAAATTCGGGACGGGGGAGCTGACTTCTCCAATAATTAATTTTTTCTCCGGTCAACGCTGTGTAACTTTGCTTGTATACTGATAAAACAGAACTGAATATATACATATAGTACAGTAGCTATTAAATAGGATACATATTACCACTTTGTTGAAATTTTCTTTCTCGTGCACGATTGTTCAGCAGGTTTTTTATTTGCTCCAGAGTCAATAACTGAGATCAAATGAGCTTTTGTGCCACAGTGAATGCTTTGAGCAATTATTACTCTATTTTTTGTCGTGGAAGTCATTTCTTAGTTAATCTTGTCTTGGTTGATATCCAGGCCTCAACATCTCACTTAATTTGAGGAACTGTTTGTTTTCACAATGCCCTATGTTATATTGTAATAGCACTGAAGAAGTAGCCAGCTAATTGGGGATCCAGAATGTATTTCTTTTTCTTTTCTCTTATCCTCTTCACCACTGATCGGCTCGTTAGCCGCTTGGGCGATCGGTCACGTCTCTGTCACGCACTTTTGGTAATTACTGGGCATGCACCGGCTCCTGAATGTACCTGAACCTGCTCCAGTGTTGATCAAGTCTGGTCTTCAAAGAGCTCACACTCGATGCCGTCACAACACATTCTGGTAGATTGTTCCAAGAGTTCACAACCCTCACTCCGAAAAAGTTTGCCCTCACAGTTTTCTGGACTTGCGGCTTCTTCAATCTTGAGCTGTGACCCCCTGTGGGGCGAGCGTCTGCCAGCTCCAAGTAAGGACACTCGACTGAGTCGTGCCCCTTGAGATGCTTATACACCTCAATCAGGTCGCCCCTTGCCCGTCTGTAGTATAAGCTAGGCAAGTTCAGGCACTCCAATCTCTCAGGGTAGTTGAGGTGTCGAAGTGCAGGCACCAGTCTGGTGGCCCTCCTTTGAACATTTTCAACCAACTGACAGTCCCTAGCATATTTCGGGGACTAGACGGGGTGACAGTACTTCAGATGGGGAAGCACTTCACTCTTGAAGATCGCTACGAGGGATGAACCGTCTAGATATCTGAACGACCTTCTTATAAGACCCAATAATATATTTTCCTGATTTACCTTCTTTCTCGCAATGGCCCGAGAACTTCAGCTCATTGTCAACATACACACCTAGGTCCTTCTCACATTCAGTCTCAACTAGTGCAGTTTCTTCATCCCGTTGGGACATATGATTCGTCCCCTTACCGTTGGTACGCCCCAGATGCATCCTCTTACACTTCGTGACATTGAATTTCAGCAGCCATTTCTTCGACCATTCTTGGAGCTCACAGAGGTCCTTCTGGAGCTCTTCACAGTCCGCTTGGTTCTTGATTTCCAGAAA